AAGGTGTCTCTTCAATCTCTTTTGAGATATAAAAGAGACTAAACAAGCAAGGGAAAGAAGTAAAGATGGGGTAAGAGAGACGCCAAGCCACATGAAAACCGCCCAGGAGCAGAAGCTCAGAAGAGCGAGGACCTTCCTCCAGAGCCAACAGAGACAGAGAGCCTTCTCCTAGAGCCAGCACCCTAAATTTGGACTTCTAGCCTCCTAAACTGTGAGAAAATAAATTTCTGTTTGTTAAAGCACCCACTTATGGTATTTCTGTTATAGCAGCAAGAGATAACTAAGACAGGACTTGAGCAAACTTCCTGCCACAGCCCCTTCTCTTCTATGTACTCTGAACTGCCCCTGCCTCTCTCTGAAATAGGCAAAGAAATCAGCAAAACCAGCAAGGAATCTGGGTTGATACAAAAGCTTTGCATCTTATTTTAAATCCCTAAGTGCCTACAGATACCTTGGTGTTTGAAGCCAGAGAAAGGCAGCAGCCAGCCAGGCCCCCTTGCAGACTGTTTGTTTTTCATAAGTCTCGAGTCACAAAGTTGAGCTTTGCCTACTTCGCACAAACACATCTGACGAGCTCACTTGCTGCATGGCAATTCTGCACCACCCAGAGCCAGGCATCCAGCTGTGCCATGGGGGCTACTGGCTGCAGGAAAGGTCTCTATCCCAGCCCTTCCCTGCTCATACTACCACCATCACACCAGGACACAGCATATCACATGAATGAATGCAGCCAGGGCACTTCTGAACACAAAAGAGGAGGAAGAAAAAAAAAAAAAAAAAACTGAAAAGGAAAAAGAGAACAAATAAAATCTTTGTCAATCCTTTCCTAACACTAGACAGAAGAACAAATTTGCAGAGCTCTGTTAAAAGATTAACTGCTAAATGAAAAAGAGCTACTAGATGTAAATTTATAAGTCCAAAAACACCCAAGAGGCATAACTATAATTATTGCTGAGGGAAGCTCTTTAAGACTAAAAATACATTTCCATTAACAATCAAAATTAGTTTTCATTGCTTTTTTTCTTGAGCTTTCAGTGAATAACCTTTGATTGTGGTACATGATAAGATTCATTAGAAAAAAGGGAATTTGTATTTCAGAAGTATGCACCAAAAGAAAAAAAAATTAGCCAAGAAATTATTCCTCCATATAAGCCATAAGTCAAATGGCAGAAGAAGGAACATTTTTAGAATGAGTAATGGCTTCCTATAAAAGCTAACCTAGATAGCAGGTACCCACTTGAATATCCTAGGCTAACAGAGCTGACAAACAAATTTTACAAACCTCAGTGATTTGGAGGTACTGTTATTGTGATATAACAACTTTTTTTTTTTTTTTAAGATACGAGGGAAAGGTATCATACTGCCTCAAAATTTCCACAGATTTTAATCACCATTAAGGGTGCATCTAGATCCCTGGGTAATGCAAATGGTTTGCGCTCAACTACTAACCTAAAGGTTAGTGGTTCGAACCCACCCAGCAGTACCACAGAAGAAAGGCCTGGTGATCTGTTTCTGTGAAGACTTCAGCCAAGAAAACCTTATGGAGCAGTTCTAATCTGTAACACATGGGGTCACCATGAGTCGTAATCAACTGGAAGGCAGTGGGTTTTTGGTTTAGAGTTTAAGGATGTATGTAAAAAACAGCTGAATTTTAAAGATTTTTTTCATAGTATTATTGAGATATAGTTGCATAGAGCAAAATGCACAAATCTTAAGTGTACAGTTTGATCAAGTTTGACAAATGTATAACCCATGAAAGCACCTTAGTCAAGATCTAGAAGGTTTTTAATTTCTACCATTCCAGAAAGTTCTCTCATGCTCCCCCCAGAAGCAACCACTGTTCTGATTTCTATTACCCTAGATTAGTTATATCCTGTCATATAAATGGAATCATGGCATAAGTACTCTTTTATGTATGACTTATTTCACTTAGCATAATATTTTTGTGATTTAGTTTTAATTTCTTTTAAAACACTACCTGTGTAAAATATTGAGAGGTCAAGTGATTGGGGAAAAATTAGACAAGCAAGAGCATTTTCAGGTAGAGGGTAAAAGAAAGGAAAAATAAATTCCAGGTTTTCTTAGAAATGTTTTAAGCAATGGGGATGGAAGGGTAGGGTAGAATTGGGAATTTTTCTTTAAATGTCATAAATCATCCTGAAAGGCTCTTGGAATCCTGTGATCCTGGGATGATCTTTAAATCCACTCACCTATCACAGGTAGATGTGATATAATGGTGAGCTGTATATGATTCATAATTATAAATCTAATTATGAAGAGTAGCCTAGATATATGATTAAAAATAATTAGTTCTGCTTAAGAAAATTCAACCTACAAAAAAAAAGACCAGACTTACTCAACAGACAGAGACTGGAGAAACCTCGAGAGTATGGCCCCCAGACACCCCTTTAACTCAGTACTGAACTCACTCCCAAAGCGCACCCTTCAGCCAAAGATTAGACAGGCTTATAAAACAAAACATAACACACATAGTTCAACCATGTATATGAGACGAATGGGCACACCTGCCCAAAAGCAAAGATGAGAAGGCAGGAAGGGACAGGAAAGCTGGAGGAATGGAAATGGGGAACCCAAGGTCGAGAAGGGGCTGATGTTGACACATCATGGGGCTGGCAACCAATGTCAACAAAACAATATGTGTATTAATTGTTTCAAGGGAAACTAATTTGCTCTGTAAACTTTCACCTAAAGCACAATAAAAAAAAAATTTTAAGTTAAAAAAAATCATTAGTTCTGCCCAAAATCAAAAATGAATATATAGAAAGAACAAACTGTTTTGCTAATGATTTACTCTTTGAAAATCTGAAGCTAGATTATAAAATTATTTCAAGGAATCACTGTCAAATTGAAGAGCATATAATGAATATGCTGAGCTTCTGATACTAGGGCAGACAGTGTGGTTGACATTAAAAGAGGGAGGTTAAACACAGTCTTGCCTCCAAAAGACAAAAAAAATGGAAATAACAAGGGAAGGACTTCTTTTCTAAGGCTATAGACAAATAGAAGCCCGCAGATTGAATAAAGGGGTAAAACTCCTCTGAAGCAAGAATCCAGGGGGCCTGGAGGCTCCTCTAGGCCTCCGTCCCTTAGGAAAGGCTGGGACTCGCATCCAGAGCATCAGGAGGTCATATAGCAGAATGGGGACACCTTACTCTTATCAGAGATTTTTCACATCTATTATTGCATCTCATCTTTGCAATAACCTTGTTAGGCTGTGTTATTAATAGTGCCCTGTCTGATCCTGTTCTGCATAAGGTTGCCATGCTTCGAGGGCCGATTTGATGGCAGCTAGCAACAACATATATGTAGCGTACTTTAGGGTATTTGAAGCAATGTCACAAACATCAGCCCATCTGGTTCTCAACATAACCCTATAAAGTAGGCAGAGACTTTGGCCCATTTTAATGACAAGGAAAGCTAAGTCTTTTGCCAAGGTAGTAAGACTAATAAGTGGCACATTTGGGGCTATAAAACATCTTTTGACTTCTAATGGAGTGCCCATGTTACTATTAAACTATGCTCTAGGCAGGTATTAAACCCAATTGATGGATGAGAAGACTGAGCCAAAGTGAGGTTAATCCTTAGAAACTAGCTAATGGCAGGCCTAAAACAAAAACACTTTTTATAATAATATATGGGGAAAAAATCATTTTTATGGACTAACCTGCAGACCTCAATGAATCCTTCTCCTTCTTGGCTGGGGCAAACCCGGTATTGTTGTTCATTGCTGGCGAGTTGATTCTGACTCATTTTGACCCCATCTGTGTGGAGTAGAACTGCTCCATAGGGTTTTCAAGAATGTACCCTTTCAGAAGCAGATTGCCAGGCCCGTCTCCCAAGGCACCTCTGGATGGGATTGAACCGCCAACCTTTCAGCTAGTAATCCAGTGCTTTAATCACTTGCACTAGAACCCCATAAAAAAATTAAAAACAGTTGCTGTCTAGTCGACTCTGATTCATGGTGGCCACATGTGTATCAAAACTGAATTGGATTTTCAATGGCTGGTTTTTCTGAAGTAGATCACCAGGCTTTTCTTCCAAGGTGCGTCTGGGTGGACTCGAATCTCCATCTCAAACCTATCAATTAGCAAGCGAGTGCTTAACTGTGGCACCACCCAGGGACTCCTAGAATAGGACTCCATATTCATAGCCCTCCTAAGCCACCTTTCTCTGCTGTGCCTAGGGCTGAAATCAAACTAATATCACAGCTTCCACTTGAAAGTAACTGAGCCTTCCCAATATATCTACCTTATTACCCACTTACTGGATATGGATGGTGATAACTAAGCCTTAATAAGCAATTTCTCTCTGCCCATCAACAACCTCATGAGCTAAGTACTGATATCATCATCCTCAGAAAACTGAAGCACAGAGAGGTAAACACCTTGACCCAGGCTACACAGCTGATAAGCAGTGCCGTTGGGATTGGAACTCCAAAGCCCACACTCTTATCCACCAGGCTGTAAGTGAAGTGCTAATCTTCAAGAACACTGGTTTATCCCCTAACTCTCCACTCCAAACGGTATGAGAGTGGCAATGGAATGCTTCTAAAATATAGATACAGGATATATTTTTTATTTCAGAGAGTGAGCTTATATTTATATGTGCAAGCAGATTGAATAAATCATGATTACAACAGTAAACATGTAAATTCCGATCAATAACTACTTGCCTTCCCCTCCCCCCCAACGCTAACAGCTGCAATAAAGCTTTAACTGGAAAGCGATGCACAACCAGCCATAAAAGTATGTAAAATAAATGAGGATAACATAATGAGGGAATCCAACATTCATCTCATAAATATAACATAACGACCACAGCTAACATGTCAGAGAAACTAATAAATCAATATGGTAGGACAGAGCTATCTTTATGTTCAGAATACATAAAAAATAAATTTACATGCAAGGTTATTTTTAAATATATATATAAGCAGGACCAAACGAAAAGAATTATAAGACATTTAACCCTTTGCTTACCTAGATGCTCTGGTTTGACACTGATGTTTTCAACATGCCATTGGGTCCTCTCATATCATTTTATGGTAGGAAATTAGCTCTACTTAAAATTTACACATAAGATTTGAGAGGCTATGCTGATATGCAAATGCCACTGGAAGGGAAGAGAACAGGAAAACATCCTGAGGGTACTTTGAAAGGATCAATTACAGGCCCTGGTTTAGAACACTTCTGATCATGGTGATTTCTGGAACTTCCAGCTCATTTTATTAGCGCCAGCAAACCCTGGGAGGTTCAGTTATTTCCCTGTTAATGCACTAGCGATTGATGTGGATAAATCCCATAAATACTAATGAGGGTGACACAAGTAAATCTCCCTTGAATTAATGAGAAGAGAGTCTTCTGTACTGACCAACATGTCGCCTAATGACTTCAGATGATGGATTTATAAATTCTTCCAGGTTCCGCGTGTACGCAAGCTGCAGAAATAAACATCCTTACCAGGCCACTTCCTCCCATGGGCCTTTCTGGATCTTGGGGCCCTAACGAGAAAGGGACAAATACTCTTTTCAGAACTTTTTCCTTAATGAAATGGACATACCCCAAATGCAACACTCCACTTTGAAGGTGGACTAAATTAGGGATGTAAATAATAGTCAAGAATCTACTGATAAATAGCTTGAACCAGGTCCAAAAATACTAATTTCTCAGATATGAAAAACCAGTTAATGCTCATACATTAAACTGAGTTAAATAAGTGTGTTTTTTAACCCAGTGTTTCGGTTATCTATTGCTATAAAACAAACTTAGTGGATTTAAACAACAACCATGTTATTAGGCCACGATTCTGTGGGTTGATAGGGACTCAGCTGGGCGGTTCTTCTGCTGATCTCCCCTGAAGTCCTTCGTGTGCTTGCCGTCAGACGGTGTTGGGGGCTGGAACGCCCAAGATGACTTCACTCACATGTCTGGAGCCTTAGTGCGGGTGGCTGGGGGTGGTGATCTCTCTCTCCCCACATCCCCCACACGCCTAGTTTGAGCTTCTTTACCGGGCAGGTGGATTCTAAGAACAAGTGTTCCAAGAAGATCAACTCCAGTGTGCAAGCACTTACTAAGTTCCTCCTTGCATTTCACACTTGCTAACGTCCCACTGACCAAGTCCAGAGTCAACATGAAGAGAACTACAGGTGTGAACACCAGGAGACATGGTTCATTCGGGGGCCACCAAAGTTAACACTCTACCACTACCAACATTTTTTCGCCTCAGAAGGAAAAATACTTTCCATTATAATAACAAGATTATAACAATAATAAGAAGTTGTACATTTTTTTCCCTCTTTTTCTATCCTTTCACTTTAATAGTCAATGACCTGGTGCTTTGATTATTGCTTGAGTGTTACAGATTAAGCTTCCATATGAAAGTGGGAGAAAATAGGGCAAGAAAGAAAGAGAAGGACTTTATAATTTATAAACAAATAAGGATCAAACTTTCATTATTTTAATTAAAAAAACAAACAAACTGGATATAGCTGCTGATAACACAAGGGGGACTTACAGCCAGTCTCACTCTGCCTCGATTCTCTTAGCATGAGAACTCTGTCATTTACTCTGAAAGGGCCCTCTGAACCCTCTAAAAGGACCAACACTGTATCCCCTATAGAAACCCCCATAAATCTTGCTCCAACTATTCTCCCAAGGATATCCTACCATGATGGTATCTAAATATGACTCTCCTTCATTGCAATAACCCTATGGACCTTGATAATATTTGCTGATCCCAGTCCACCTGTTGGTATTCATCAGCAATAAATTGTAAGGTGCTTCCAATTTTATCAAAGCATATCCCATTTGATCCTCAGAACAGTCCTCTAGGTAAGATAAAGACTTATTATTATCTCCATTGGACTAAACTAAAAACAAAGGCTATACGCATTTCCATGTAGTTCTCGTTTTTCAGTGCTTTAAAGTTAACGAAACGCTGTCTTATACATGACTTGTATAGAAATCGTTTAAAACCATCCTGTGAGGTAGATGATAATATCACTACTAGCAGATGAGACGGGGAAGTTACATACTTGACCCAAGGCCCCAGCAGTCAATAAATGGCAGGCGCAAGATCTCAAGTCTACTCAATCCAAGTCCTTTCACAGTCTCTTACTGGGAGACTAAGTGATCTGGAGCCATAGAGCTTGCAGCAGAATTAAAATTAAAACAGCATCTTCTGGACACCCCCTCCCCAAATCACGCTGACTCTTATGTCTCCATTAGAGCCTATGAGGACTGTCCCATAAGAGGGGCCACATAAGCAATAGGGAAGGTCAGGAAACATCATACTGGTTTAGCTTTCAGAGAACACAGGAACTTAGTGTGGTCCTTGTGCTCTAGAGACTACATCATGGTTGAAACCAACTACTTGATGACAAGGTTTCACAAGGTGACCTCTTGGGCCCCCCTCTTAAACTTTGTGAAACATTTCTCAGTCAGCTTAGATACTATTTTTTAACACATCGAATAGCAAAGCAAACAGACGAACTAATGGCATAGAATAGAGTCCAACTATCTGCATAACTGGAAATTTTATACGTGACAAAAATAGTATTTCAAAATAGTTAGCAAAATCATGTAAAAACAAATGGTGTTAAGTCAACTGGCTATTCATTTGGGGAAAAAAATATTAACTTCGACCTCAACATGAAACCATTCCCAAAAATAAATTCTAACGGATCAAGACCTAGCAGGTAAAATTAAAACAATCAAGTTTTAGAAGAAATGCAGGAGAATATGCGTATGGTCTAAGGATTGGGAAGGCCTTCTTAAACAAGACACAAACAGCACAAAGGAAAAAATGTGTTAATTTGACAACATCAAAATTTAAAACCTGTATGTAGTAAGAGATGTCATAAAGTCAAAAGACAAGCAACAGATTGGAAGAAAAGATTTGCAATACATGAGAGACTGTGGTCAAGTATACCTTGAATATATAAAGACTTACTACAAATCAATAAGTAAAAGTCATATAAGCCAATAGAAAAATGGGCAAATGATAAAAATAGGCAATTCATAACATAAAAAAAGATAGCCAATAATATATGAAATGATTCTCAAACTTAGCACAAAAATAAAAATTAAAAATAGCAGCAATATATACAATATACCCAATAGATTGCAAACATTTTGAAAGTGTGCTTATCCCAAATGTTGGCAGGGGAGTGTGTCAAATGGTACTTTCCACACATCAATAATTGGAATGAATATTGATCACTGTGGAAAACAATTTTTGTAGTATCTATTACAACCCAAAATGTGCATACACAATGAGTGAGCAATTACACTCCTTAGAATACATCCATGAGAAACACTTTTACATGTGCACAAAAAGGCCCATAACAAGGACATTCATTACTGACAAGATAAGGAAAAATAACTAACAACTGAAATTCCCCCATCAGACAGTTAATGGCCAAATAAACGTTGGCATAGCCTTACTATGGAATATTGCACACAAGTCAAAAAGCACAAGTATATCTACATGTGCTGATATGGAAAGATATCTCAGATACACCACTGACTGAAAACAGCAAGCTACTGAACATACACATTACTATAAATTCTTTGGTATGCATTTATATGTCTACGTGTGCAGGTATATAAATTCACAGAACAAGGATAGGTAAACATAGTAAGCTACTAATGTGGTTACCTTTTGGGAAGATATTGGGGTGGAGGTAGAGGAAATGAGGAGTCAAAGAGGATTTTGCCTTAGCAGTTAGTGGGTAGTATAAAGTCCTTGGGTGGTGCAAATGTTAATGCACTTGGCTGCTAACCCAAAGGTTGGAGGTTCAAGTCCACCCAGAGGTGTCACAGAAGAAAGGCCTGGCAATCTACTTCCAAAAAATCAGCCGCTGAAAACCCTGTGGAGCACAGTTCGACTCACACACATGGGGCCATGAGTCAGAATCCACTCAACAGCAACCGGTTTTAATTACTTGGGTAATTAAAATTTAATTCTCAATCAATAAAAAGATATGACATAGCACCCTCCCTCACAGTCCTCTCTAAAATTTATAAAAATAAAACAAAACAAACAAACAAGCAGAGGTCATAAAGGAGGAAAATCAGAAGCAACACAGTGAAGCGGCTAAGCAGGAACTGTAAAGCCAGTTGGCCTGATTCAGCTCCTGGCTCTACCACTCACTAAGGTATGTGGCATGGCCAAGTAAACACTGCTGTTTTTCAGCACACATCAAGCGATATGTAGAGCACTGGTTAAATAAATACAACACAGAGTCCTGCCTACTTCTAAGTGTGGGTGGAATGCTTTTATGGATTGCCAAACTGCACTGATTATTTGTGGAAAGAGGGAGAGGAGAGAAGGATTCTAAGGGTACCAGAAGGAACAGGTGGGGGCCATCCATGGATATGTTATCTTTTCCTACCAAAGATTTCTGTAAGTCATGAGCATCTTTCCAGCATGAGCTGCACACTGCCATTTACTGAGGGGAAGTAGGGCCCCATTTGGTGCCCGCACAGAGTAGAACTGCCCCATAGGGTTTCCAAGGAGCGTCTGGCAGATTCGAACTGCCGACCTTTTGGTTACCAGCTGTAGCTTTTAGCCACTATGCCACCAGGGTTTCCTCTTTTTTTTTTTTTCTTTTTCCCGTTGAGTACACAAAGAGGCGAAGGCACCGCCAGTGGGCAGGCAAAGGGGGCCTCAGAATCTGTGCCCCTAGGCAGTGAGGGGGTTGCACGGAGGCAGAGTCACAGCAGACAGCCAGGTTTGGCTACTGGTGCTTGGTAACTTTCTATGGACTTGGAGCCATCAGGGCTGGAAACCCTGAGGAAAATAAATCCTTTTCTGCCCTTGCTAACTAAAAACGTGAAAGGGAATAGTAATCTCCATAAAGCCATACAAGTTGCTTAGAAAATGTCAGTCCCTGTTGTGCCAGTTAAACAGTTGCCCTCCCGCAATATTAAGAGGAAGAGGAGAAGTATTAATGAGCATCATTTTAAAGACCTGTGGATCTTATGATGTGAGATTGTATTGTCTCACTGTGGTCATTTTGCCCTAGGCTAGTGTTCAGGTCATTTGGTGCCTTGGCTCTGGATAAACAAGAAAAATAAGTACAGGTGCACAGTACTTTAGAGTCTGCAACACTTCTTTACATTTATTACCTCACTTAATTCTCACCACAATCTTTTTACCCCCATTTCACAGATGAAGTGACTGAGACTTCAACACCAATAGATTATTTTCACCATCATATACCAGTTGAGAAGCAAAGCCATGAATTTTACCTCTTGCCAGCCTCCTGCTGGTTTTGCTAGAAATGCTAAACCAATCTTTTGCTTGATTTGAAGAGCAAATCCAGCCTTTCTCTCTTAACAAGGATATCTTTTTGCATCTCTTTTTATGAGACATCCCAAGATCCTTTGGAGAGAGAATCTTCTCTCACAGAGGACATTCGTTCCACACAAAGTGGAAGCAGATGATTTTCCCTCCTTTGTTACACACTGTGCAGATGCTGACTTAATTGTCTGCATCAATGCCAAGTCGGGTCCAGAGACATGGCAAAGCTTCTCGTCACTCACCAGGTTTCTTGGCTTATTCTGAAGAAAAGAGGAAAGCACATGTTTGTCCTGTACCTACCTATGAACCCAGCAATTTGCTAGGTTCTTTACACACACTTATTTAATCTTTAACACAAATCTGTGAGGGAGGGCCAATGATCCGTATTATATAGATAAGGAAGCTGAGGTCACAGAAGTTAACTGGTCCAAGGTCACACACTAGATAATAAGCTCAAAGTCTGAGTATCTCCAAAACTCTGATAATTTCAATATGCCACTGTCTCTATGGGACTGGGACAACAAATATGAAAATCATATATAGGGTGATCATCCACATCTGGACACTTTTCGAAGTAAAAGTGGAGGGGGCACAATTAATAATTACACCAGTATAATGATATTATACAGGTATAAACTGAGACTATCCCAGGGAAACCAGCACGTATAGTCACCCTGATTAGCTACTGTGTAAGGGAACATCACCAAAGAAAAAGAAGGTACACCCTCTTGAGCTCAAAACCCATAAATCCTGAGCGATAAATGTCTCATTCCAGGAAGACACAGCCCTGCAGATGGTCAGGACGTTGCTTATCCTCTACAGATTCCAGAAACAAACACCAGGGCTGCTAATTCAGGCAAGCTTCTCCCC